TCCTCTGCTGCTTTCCTCCCTGGGGGACTGGAGGGTGTTAAGAAATCTGTTTCCCCCCTCCCAGATGCATCTCCCAAGCCCCTGGGCCGCTGGCCCAGCAGCTCTGCTGCTCCTCACTGGTGTTCTCAGCAACGACACTCAGCTCAGCGCCCGGGGACGGAAAAAGGTTGTCCATGTCATGGGTGAGTGGGGAAAGGGGTCCCAGAGGGGAGCTGGAACCTGGAATGGGGTGGGATGAGATACGGGGAAACCTCCTGCAGCCGTTGGGTTGTTGGGTTTGATGTCTATTATAGCATGATCCAGGTCACTGTAGCATCCAGTGTGTGTCCCTGTCCTGTGCAGAAGGTGGGAACACTCCTGGGGTTGTGCCAAACACTCCTCAGGGTGCCCCCAAAAGAAGGTGATTCTCCCCAAAATGTTTCCCCACATTCTCAGCCTGCATTGTCCTCACTGTGGGTCCTGCCCATGTGCTGGAAAGGAGGCAGGAGCAGGCTGGGGACACGGGGACTGTCCTGGGATAGAGACAGGAGCAATCTGGGGACACAGGGACTGTCCTGGGAGGGAGACAGGAGCAATCTGGGGACATAGGGACTGTCCTGGGATGGAGGCAGAAGACTGGTAACAGGGATTGTCCTGGGATGGAGGCAAGAGCAATCACAGGACAAGGACTGTCCTGGGATGGAGACAGGAGCAACCTGGGGACACAGGGATGGTCCTGGGACAGATGTGGGAGCAATCTGGGGACACAGAGATTGTCTTGGGATGGAGACAGGAGCAGACTGGTAACAGGGACTGTCCTGGGATGGAGACAGGAGCAGACTAGGGACACAGAGACCATACTGGGACAGATGTGGGAGCAATCTGGGCACACAGGGACTATCCTGGGACACATGTAGGAGCAATCACGGGACAAAGACTGTCCAGGGACAGATGTGGGAGCAGTCTGGGCTCCCAGGGGCCGTGCTGAGCCCGGTGTCCCCCGCAGAGGGTGAGAGCGGCGCCGTGGTGGTACAAACAGCCCCAGGGAAGGTGGTGACCCACCGTGGGGGCACCATCATCCTGCCCTGCCGCTACCACTACGACGTGTCTGCCCATGAGCCGGCCCAGATCCGCCTCAAGTGGACCAAAGTGACAGAGCCCATGGCCTTCGTGGACGTGTTCGTGGCGCTGGGCAAGGCGCGGAGAGCGTTCGGCAGCTACCGCGGCCGCACGGCGCTGCAGGAGGACGGGCAGGGCGACGCTTCCCTCATCATCCGCAACGTCACCCTGCAGGACTACGGGCGCTACGAGTGCGAGGTCACCAACGAGCTCGAGGACGACACTGGCATGGTCAAGCTGGACCTCGAAGGTAGCTCTGTGGTCGCTCCGAGGAGTTGGGATGGTCAGGATGTGGCTCCCGCTGTCGTGTCCCCACGTTGGGTTGGCTTCTCTTCACGGCTGGTTGTTTGTCCTGGCGTGTGCTGTGGTTTATTGCTGTCGTTATTGGCTTTTATTGTTGCTCCAGGTTTAGGGCTGGCAGCTAATAAATGCCCGAGACGGATAGCGGCACAGGCTCGTAAAGCACCAGGGATTGGGATGTGGCAGCACAGTTGGTGCTGTGTGTGGTTCTGAGCCTGCTGGGACATTGGGAAAAGGGGAAAACTCTCTTCTGGGGGGCTCAGGGAATGCCAGAGCTTGGTTAGACCCTGCACTGGTATCTCCCAAAGCAGCAGCTGCTGGAATCTGGGAATGCCTTGAGGTGCCTGTGGTCATAGGATGAGGAACAGAGCACCCAAACTCCCGGAGTAGTTTGCCTTGATTGGATTTTACACCTCTGCAAAATCATTCCTCACCACTATCAGTGCCTTGTGCTGACCCCATCCATTGAGTGCAGCTGCAAAATAAGGTGGGGGAGACTCTTCACATCCCATCTCTCCTCCCATCCCTCTTTTCCATCCTTCTTCCAGGCGTCATCTTCCCGTACCACCCTCGCCTGGGTCGCTACACCCTGAACTTCCACGAGGCGCAGCAGGCGTGCCTGGAGCAGGATGGAATCCTGGCCTCCCACGACCAGCTGCACCAGGCCTGGCTGGAGGGCATGGACTGGTGCAACGCTGGGTGGCTGGAGGATGGCTCGGTGCAGTATCCCATCTCCAGGCCCCGCGAGGAGTGTGGCCGCAAGGACACTCCGGTGGGAGTGCGGAATTACGGGTACCGGCACAAGGAGAGTGAGCACTACGATGCCTTCTGCTTCACCTCCAACCTCAACGGTAACAAGGAGGGGAAAATCAGTCATGGAGCTCCCTGCAGGGGCTGGGGGGAGTGTGTGGGAGGTGATCCAGGATGATGCTCAGCCCTGGGAGAGAGGATGTGGCTGCATGTTCCTTCCCTGGATCCCTTGGCATGCCAAGACAGGGGCAGTGCTGGGTACCAGCATCCAACTCCATCCGTTTGGGGCTGGCACACTGAGTTTTAGCAAACCCCTCTATTTTTAAGCAAAATCCTATTTTTTTAGCAGAACCTTCTTTCCTGGGCAGGAGCAGGGACAGAGGTAATTGCAGCAGCCACGGGCCTGGGTGATGGATGAGGCCAGGACCATGCAAGACAGATGGGAGCCAGGAGAGCTCCCAGGCTGTGTAAATTCCTCCCTGCTGGCAGGGGGTGCAGGAGGGGGTGGGGGATGTTTATTTAATGGTGGCAGCAGGATAAATAGCAGTGACATCAACACAAGGAGCTGTCAGCGCTCGCTGCCATGCAGACCCCGTAAATCTGCCTCCACCATGGAGCCCACACAGGCACTCAGCAACTCCAGACCCCAAAAAAATATCTTGGGGGGGTTTACAGGGTTTGTATCACTCACCTCTTCCAGCACCCCAAAAATATCTTTGGGGGATTCACAGGGTTTGCATCACTCACCTTCTTCAAAGTGTTTTATGAGGGGACAACAGAACTTGCATCATTCTTCTTACACCCCTCAAAAACATCTTGGGGGGTCCACAAGGCTTGCAGCGGTTTTCTCCTCCAGCCCCCTCCCAAATTTTGGGGGTCCACAGGGCTGACAACACTTGCATTGTCCAAGCCCTCCAGAATATATTCAGGGGGTCCACAGGGTTTGCATCACTCACCTCCTCCTGCCCCCCAAAATATGTTGAGATCCTTAGACCTTTCCCCACTCACCTCCTCCTGCCCCCAAAATATGTTGAGATCCTTAGAGCTCTCACCACTCACCTCCTCCTGCCCCCAAAATATGTTGAGATCCTTAGAGCTTTCACCACTCACCTCCTCCTGCACCCCAAAATGTGTTGAGGAGATCCTTAGACCTTTTCCCACTCATCTCCTCCATCCTCTCCCCAAAATGCTCTGAGATGCTCCACAGGGCTTACATCTCTCTTTCTCCAGCCCCTCCAAAACACACCGAGGCTTCAACAGTGCTTGCCCCACTCTTCTCCAACCCCCCAAAAAAACCCTTAAGAACTCCATAACACTTACACTACTCACCCCACCACACTGCTAACAGCTACAGGACACTCCCCACCCTAACACCTTTCATTTTTTCCCCCCTCCACCTAGGCAAAGTTTACTTCTTGAAGACATTCCGCAAGCTCAGCTACTCCGAGGCCGTCCAGGCCTGCAAGAACAACGGTGCAACCGTGGCCAAGGTGGGGCAGTTGTATGCAGCCTGGAAAATTCAGCTGCTGGATCGCTGCGAGGCAGGTTGGCTGGAGGATGGCAGCATCCGCTACCCCATCGTCAACCCGCGCGCCCGCTGCGGGGGCACCGAGCCCGGCGTGCGCAACCTGGGCTTCCCCGACAAGAAGTACAAGCTCTTCGGGGTTTATTGCTTCAAGAAAGCTGGCGAGGATGCCCAGGAGAAGGCAGCGGGTGGTGGGCACCCCAATCGAGTGTGAGGGTTGGGTATTGTCCCCCAGGGTTTGCCTGGGGATGTCTCCCGTCCGTGCTGGGCTCCCCTGGGTCGCGGCGGCGCGGGGAGCTGCGGGCAGCGCCTGCGTTGGGCTGGAGAGGTGCCCACGGGATGGAAACAGAGCAGTGGGGTGTGGGCAAAGCCCTCGGGGAAACTGAGGCAGCGGGAGGACTGGAGGAGCCCAGCCAGGAGCCTGTGCCATCACCCGGGGCTGGCTCCCAGCTCGCCGCAGCTCTTGCTTCTCCATCAGCGTTTTGCATGTGCTAAAGGCCCATCCAAGCCCCCAACGACCTCATCCTCACCCCTGGGGTCCTCACCCTGCGCTGTCCCTGGGTTTGTGCAGCACTGAACCCTCCCAGGATGTGCCACAGCATCACAGCACCCACAGGTCTCTGCGGGGGAATGACCTGTGGGTTCCCCCAAATCCCACCTTGGCGCTGGGCAAGGACTGGGGGCTCTGGACTTGGCTTTGTGTGCCCTGGGCAGCCAGGGGGGCACCCACAGCCCCTCCAGCACCCGCTTGTAGCTGCAGGGTGAGCCCAGAGCTGTGGCAGCTCCTTCGTGCTTGGCTTCGCGCGGCCGGTGCTGGGTGGGAGGTGCTGGGTGGGCACTGCCCCTGTGCCCACCTGGCTGGGCACAGCCTGAGGCTTTTGGCAGCCGTGGAAGTAGATGAAATAAAAGCTTCAGCTGCTTTGAGAGCTGAGCCAGGCTCTGATGTGTCCTTGGCTGGTGCCACCCTTGAGGGGCATCTCGGACGCAAGGGGATCCAGTCCCTATTCCCAGTCAGAGCTGGGAATGTTCACAACATCCCAACAAGATCCTTGTTGGGTTTGCCAGGGCTAGATCCAAGGGAGCAGCACCAGCAGAGACACCTCGGGGCATCACAGTGCTGGCAGCACCACTGTGGGGATGGCAGGACGTGGATAGGGACCCTCATGCTGGAGGGAGCTCAGGGTTTACTCCAGGCCCAGCACAGCTGATTTCAGCTCATCCATCACCTCTGTGACTGATGAAATACAAAGCTGATGGGATGGGGCACCCTGGGAAGGACTAGAGAGAACTGTGGGGCACCAGGTGTTGGGTGAGGAAGGGGCAGCACCCATGGTTAGGCAAGTAGCATTTTGATAAATCCTTCAGCATCTCCCAGTCTTCCAGGGCTGGCAGGGAAAGCTGTGGCCAAACTGGTCACCAACTGGGACACACCTGGCAGCCACCACTGGGGTGATTCATGGGCAGCAGGACTGGTACAAGGAGCCCTGGGGGAGGCATTGGGTTTGCTTTGGATTAATGTAGTGTGGTGAAAAAAGGCAGATGGGGAGTGATAGTAAAGCAGACAAGGGACACGGGGGGAACCATCCCAGGGGTTTCCACCCCCCCAGGAAAGCACAGGGTCAATCAACTGTTAAAAAAATTTATTAAAATGTCCAGCAGTACAGAAAGGCAGAGTCAGAAATGGGGAGGGGGAGGGAGGGGGCTCAGGACACGGCAGTCACGTCGCAAACAGCAGAGATCAGAAAGCGCCGTACACACACACACCAACTCCAACGGGGACCAAAGAGAGAAACCAACCCACCCCAAACCAGGCACGGAGCAGGACAACGTGCCCACCTTGTGCTGGCCACAGGGATGCCCCGTGGGCAGGACTGGGGGTGCTGGGGCAGGAAAACGAGGCGGCTAAAAAAACCAGAGCCACCCGACGCGCCGGTCGGGGTGGGCCGTGGGGAGCTGCCTGGTTCACCCCACTTTGGGGACAGGACCAGAGCCCAGCCAAGGGACAACCCCCGGGCAGGGCTGGGGGTCCCTGCCAGGGTCTGGGGGCTGCACCCCGGGCCGGGGGGCTGAGCGTGGGACATGCAGGGAGAGTGGGGACGCACAC